TCAGCCGCTGTTGAAACTGATCAGTTTCAGCAGCGGCTGAATCTGGATGCCAGTTCCGACTTACATACAGATTCAATTAAGAACAAACCTACAGTCCCTATCTTGTACGTAACCCGGGGACTGCCTGTATAATGCTATTCTTCTGACTATCAAACGTGTAACTTGTCTATAGATTTCACTTCTATATTTTCATAAAATGCCGTACCGCTGTTGAAACTGATCAGTTTCAGCAGCGGCTGAATCTGGATGCCAGTTCCGACTTACATACAGATTCAATTAAGAACAAACCTACAGTCCCTATCTTGTACGTAACCCGGGGACTGCCTGTATAATGCTATTCTTCTGACTATCAAACGTGTAACTTGTCTATAGATTTCACTTCTATATTTTCATAAAATGCCGTAGTGTTAGAAATATTGAAAGATGACCATTTTTAGGTGCAAGTTGGAGAAGACTGGCTAATGCATTGTTAATCTTTTATATTACTTCCTAAATTCTTTAAAACCTTGAACTTAAAAATGCAGTAATATACTTTGTTTTTAATCTAAACCTTTCATCCTTAAAGGTTTTATGACCTACTTAGTGGAGCCATTATTTACAGAGTGGGCCCGGTTTTCAAATACCAGGTTATCACAGACAATGCTTGGTCATCTGGGACTGAATAAAGCTAGTTGGAAGGGACTGCAAAGAGAACAGTCAAGCAGTGGTGATGATACGGATCCTGCATTTGAGGAAATGGACTCAGATGTATTACCTCAGGAAACTCCATTGTCCTGACCCCAGAATCTGCATAACAAAAATGGACTCTAGTGTAGGTGTCTGCACATGGGGTTTGAGGAGAAACTTGTTGTGACCACTCAAGGTTCAGTGTAAACGATGCCAGCATTATTTGTTTCCAAGTTTTCCTTTACAGATCATTTGAACCCCATTTTAATTACAAGATTGGAACATAGAGCAATATGCATATGCCTCAATTGGCTTTTATTTGGAACCTTGAATATGCAAAGCACAGCAGTGACTGAATCTTGAAGGAACAATACAAGAAGTTTCATCATGGTGCCACGAGTGTTTAAAAAAAGTTTGAAGTAAGGTCTTCAAAAACAAGATTTGATATGAACTGTTCCATTTGCTTGGGATTTAGCAAGTCTTACATAAACATGTTCAAGCATACCTTCCACTCAGTCCTTGTTTAAAATATGGAAATGTGAAGTGCCCATCCTCTGCTGCCTCTGGCAAGACTTGATGTTTACAAAAGTACTCTGATACTATCATTCTAGACTTATCTTTACGCATGGCTGTGAAAAAACCACTCACTTCGCGTTTTCATTTTAAAAAAAGAAAAGAACAAATCTGAGACTGCAGCTCTTTTTCCTTTGGATGCCAGAAAAGACTCCATTTGCCATTATTTTGTTTGTGCACTGGGAACTGACATTCATCATAGAGCACAGCCAAGCTTTACTCCAGTGCTGTGTGGGAATGCAATTTTTGAAAATGCTTCTGAATTTGCAGAGTGGGGGGCAGGTGGGGGGAACATTGTCCCTAATTGTGTTGCAATTCTGCAGTGAAAATGTTGCATGTTGTTTTCACTATTGTACATTTGAACTGCATATGCAAGAAAAAAAGGTAAGAATATCTATACACACCATAATCAACTCAGGGTATTTGCCAATCTGAAATAAAGTGGGATGGGGACTGTCTCCTTCAGAACAAGGGTACAAATGCCCCTTTCGCTGCAGTATGAGTGTTTTTGTATGTGTGAGTATGAGAGTGTTTGGGGCTACGTGGGGAGGGAGTGGGAAGGGTTTCAACTGCAACATTTTTTTATTTATTCTTTTAGAATGTGACAGTGTAATTAACAGCCACATTGGGGGGAAACTGTAACAAATTGCTACAGATGCCTTAAACTATGCACAAAGCTAAGTGACCAAATTTGTTTTTGATTGAAAAAGTGCATTGTTTACTTATTCCTCCCTCTACTGAAACATTGCCCATTTATAGGTTTGATGTGAAAAGGATATATGTTTTTAAGGACAAAATTTAAGGACTAATTTTAAACATTCCATTTTTGTAATTTTGTTTTACATTGTTTTAAGTACAGTAAGCACAACTGTAATAGAGTTTAAGAGAAACTGGTGCTTTCTTTTAGTTCATTTCTATTTCCTGTGTTATTTCTGTAAAAGACTGTTTATTAATTCTGTTTACAGTTTGTTGCAACAGCCATTTTTGGGAGAGAGCTTCAGTGTAAAGCCATTTGTAAAGGCTTTACCATACTCATTTTAATATGTGCTTGTTGCTCTTAACTTTTGATGAATAAAAAACTCTTTTCACATTATGCTCCTGTACATCTAAGTTATATAACTGAGTCTGTTACTATGGAGACGTAGTTAAGCTTGCAGTACATTATACAACTTTATTTTAACCCTATTGTGTGTATTTTAAAATGTCAAACTTGGTTCTACAACCTTTGTCTTCAGTCAGGATTAGAACTCACAAATGATCCTGAATTATGTGAAAATGGGTTGTGCCCAAGAAAGCTCATGATACCATCTACATATTTTGTTAGTTTTTAAGGTGCTGCTAGACCATTCATTGTTTAAGTTTTTCCAGTTACAAACTAACTCGGCAACCCTTCTGAATCTTCTATTATGTGTTTGTCTCTCTCCAAGTTAAAAATGTTATCTCTTCAAATTCTCTACATTATTAAATTTCATTAAACTCTTTGTCCATTTGTATGCTCCCTTGGTCTGTGGGGGTATGTCTATACTACAAAGT